ATTAAAACAGATTATAAGAGAGCACAATGGTAGAGGCCGACAGGCCAAACTGTAAGAAAGTAAAAATTGCACGATTACACAGTCCACAGTTTCAGCAGTGTTATCTAGCAGTTAATGAATGTTTAAAAGAATGTCTCATGCAGTATTTGTTTATTTTAATTTTCCCATGAAAGTTCCATTTACATACTTGGTTGAACAGTGAACCCCACCTCCTCCGTTTTTGCTCGTAACTCGAGTAAGTAAGAGTCGAGACGAAATTACTACGCCTTAATTCATAGGTGCTGGGCCAAACCCCCACGTCCTGACGCCCCTCGTCGAGGCCGTCCTCGAAGTGATCGGCGAGGACCCGCCCAACCTGTGCGGGTTGGAGGCCACCATAGGTGACACGGAAGAGTAGGTGACTGGTTTCTAGACCCGATTGTGTGAAGAGTAAATGGTTTTAAGGAACCGGTCACAGTAATGCAGAACTGTCGTTCCAGGCGAGGTTCTAAAAGACGAGGACAAATGATGATAAGAAGATGGGCATGTTGCCATTTGAATGGCATTACTGCCGAGTACTTTTATATAAAAACCAGAGGCCGGATGCCCGAAACTTTCTTACAACAAAGTTACAAACTTTTGAGTATTCCCGAAGCAAAATGTTTGTAAGTTTTGCGCAAGTTCTGACGAAATCCGTAGCTTGCGCAAAACTTACGATCTTTGTGCTTCGGGAATACTTAAAAGTTCGTAAATTTGTCATAAGATAAATCTACTAACTTTTTTGTCGTAAGAAAGTTCCGGGAATCTGGCTTCAGTTCTATTTCAACAACAAAAGCTCAAAGGCGGTTCGAAATATAAGTCACGAAACCGTCTTCCAGAGTGCACTCTAAGATCTGACGAGGCACCATGCGCTACCACATTTCTAATTATTTTCAACAAGGCTGAAACAGTTTCACCGAAGCTACAAATTCATGCAATAACACGGCATGCAATGAGAAATCAGGTGGTAAAGCTGTTTATTACCATCTTATAGAAATTAAATCCAACAAAGTGGCAATGGCTTTTCTTTAATGCTAACTGTAGCACGCTTTCAATATGCAAATTAAAAGATCACACACAGTACAACCATCCTGTTGCTTGTTTTACCAACTTAGGAAAATTGGCTCAAACATTAACTTCATTCTGGTCAAGAAGTTAACTACCCCCATGATGGTAACCTGTGTGAGTGAAATCAATACCAGTGAAGCTATGTGCTGTAATGTTTGAAGTTGTCCTATAAATGTGCAGTGCATTGTGGTTTGACTGGACATGTGACCACTAAATTTATGAACTGTTAATCGCATAGCTACACAGCTGCATTCTAACCTTTAGAATGCAGCTGTGTGCTCTTCACAACCAAATGCACATTTTCCTACACCATGTACTGGGCAATTGTGCAAGAAGTAACAACACTGCGCTCCGACCTCAAGCCTGTGCGTCAGTGTATAAACCAACTTGGCTCACAAACTTTGTCCTCTGTACCAACCCGTATGAATGAATTTTGGCGCAGCATCGGTGTCTTTATCAGGGTTACAAACTTTGCACAGTGTGTTCTCTTTGCCCATGCTGACAAGAACAAAACCTGACCACTTTTTACACATGAATTTGTCGCAGTGACAGCTCCAGGGGAATAGATCCACAGCCTGGTCCCTCTGGGAGCGGAGCAAGTGCGGCAGTGCTGCACGAGAGTCGGCCGCTGGAGGCGGTGCAGCGGGCTCCAACAAATGTGCCATACAGCCGACGTTGGTGCCGGGAGGCTTCACAGCGCTTCTTGCAGGAGACAGAAAGGCAGCAGCAGCTCGAGGGAGCTAATCTCCTGCTGGACAAGGAGAGCACAGAAATGGTTAAGCAAGCTGCCACGGCAACAATTGCAGCAGCAACTGCTGCCGAGGAGTTCTACCAGCAGTCAAAAAAATTACTAGAGGACCAAAAAAATTTAATTCAACTGGAAACACAGCGTGCAGAATTGGAAATCAAATTGCTAAAAAAACAATTAGGAGAAGAGTAAACATTGACATATTACGCTGTTTTTAATTTTCATTTTGAATGTATATATATATGACAAAGCCAACACAGCTGCTGATAAATAAAATCCATTTTACTTGCAACTGTATATTTCTAGATTCAGATCTGCTATACTCTGTCTCGTCCTACGATGGACTAAAGCCCAATGCTACACGCCGCCGGGTCCAATCACGAGCCTGTTTGAAACCATGTGGTATATTTGCTCCGTCAAACATATCGGTGCGCCGAAACGTGTCATGCGAAGACAAGTTTTTCATCTGCTTATCGAGAACTAACGGCGGCTCCGCCTGCTTGCAGGGTTTTTGCTCTAGTTCCTTGTCACAGCACGAATAGTTGCGACGCTCAAGGAATCTTGACTGCTGATCCATCTCCGTGTGTTCTGTCCGTACCGCCGTCAGCCTCGTATGCGCCTCAGTTGCCGCTAAGACTAAAAGCCTGCCTTGCATGTACTCATCGGAAGATCGTCTGGCTAATTTTATCATTTGCCTAATTTATCTTCGTATCTCCCTGAACCATAGCCTATGGTATTCGTGTTCCCGCTGCGCCGGGGTAATCGGCAGCAGTAGTCAAGCGTAATATGTGGGGACGGCGTGGGCGAAAATTCCACTCTCTTCCAACCTAACGCAGAAACAACATTTGGTATTCCAATGTTTGATCAATTAAAAACAAGCAGAATGCACTGGTACTCAAGACCATGCAAAGCAGCATGTGCAATATATTGGTATACTTACGCTCAACCGAAGAACTGGCTGACGATGGCATCCCGAGCCTCGTTGCTTTCATCACGGCCCGCTGCCACGGGCTCGACGGGAACCTCTTCGGGGAGGACAGTCCTTGGCATGCTGCAGGGGTATGTCTTGGCCAGGTTGTGCAGGACACATTTTGGAGCAGCCCTTGGAGCAGTCAAAAGTCAATTATGGTGCAACAAAAAGAACTTTTGTAGCATAAGCGCAAATTAATTTTTATTGATACCAATGCAAACATCACGTCAAGATTAATTTTTCGGCCTGTCCAACTAAAGGGCAAAGTCTACGTTGCCTTCTCACATACGTTCAAACCTTTGTTAGCATCAACTGCGCAGCAAGAGTTCCTCAAACACAAAACTATAGCGTTCAGTTGCGTGGAGAAGCACCATGACAGGGTAACAAAAAGGTGAGTGATGAAGGACAGCACAAACTCCTTTAAATGGTTATTTTAGGTACTGAATGCCACTAAATTAGTACAATAACATTGGTCACATAAACTGATGTTTCCTTTAAGTTCTAGAGGTTGTAATAAAACTGCAATTTATAAATGAGATAAAAAAACAAAGCAATTATCATTTGATTATCAACATAAATTACATTTTATCTGTAGAACTTCAGAGCAAAAACGGCATGTGAACGAAACTTAAAAACAAACCGCCGAACTCATTCAGGCTCTTCCTGAGATTTCATCCACTGCTCCTGTCAATTTAGTTCTAATCTACTCACACCTACAGAAAATTGATAGCTAAACAAATGAGTTGGCATAAATAAATAAACATGCATAAGAGCATATATAAATGCTCTTGCAATACCAAAGTACCCTTACTAAATCTCGAAATTGGAAAAGGTGCCGCCGGGATCTTGTAATCCATCATATTTACGAGCCGAAGTTGTGTTCAGGAATTGTGTTAAGTCTCACTTTGGAGGAGAGCTTTCTCCTTAACACAGGGTCCGCTGCAGAGAAGCAAGACATACAAAGTTGCGATGCCTACTCCGTGGTGTTTGCTTCTTTGCAGTACACCGGTGCGTGGTGAAAAGCGCATTCAACGACACTATAGTCCGTTGCAACCTAAGAACGAAGGGCGAGGGTAAGACGGGTTGGGGAGGAGGAAGCAGGCGGAACGCTAAAGAGAGAAGGAGGTTTCCCCCTCTCTTCTCTAGCGTTCCGTCTGCTTCCTCCTCCCCGGCCTGTCTTACCCTCGCCCTTCGTTCTTAGGTTGCAACGGACTATAGCTAACCCTCCAGAATGAACAGACGACTAACATAAAAATTATTGCGAAACTTCCAGATATTGCCTGTCATTCATACGAAATGTGATGGAATGGTATTGTATACGAGACTATAATCAAAAGTTTTGAAAACCTGAAAACTTGCGTAAGCATATCGTGACGGTCCGGCCGGGCAGCGAAGCCCGAGCTATTATATTTTCAGTATTATTAAAATGAAAATAAGTTTTGGTGCTACGTTGGTGCAAATTTCTCACATTTTTGTTAAATGTAGCAGGACGTAGCAGGGTAATCACTTTGGCGCAAATGGCGCAGCAATCCCATCACAGATATAATGAAAATGTTCTTCGCAAAAACTTGCAAGGAAAATTGCAGTTTGAGATAAGCAGTATTTAATAAGATATGCTTGAATACGTCTGTACACAAACTGTCTAAAAACAAAACCTGCCTAAGCCAGTGTTTTTTTTCACATTGCAAGCTGTTTTTTTTTCTAAGAATTGCTTTACATTTAGGCAATATAGAGTAACAAAAAAAATTAACTGCTATTGTTTGAAATGTGTAAACAGCTAGTAAAAACCTGTAGGTTAATAAACCCAGTCATACAGGAAGGATATGTTTCAGAGAAGTTCTAACTTCTATTCTGGAGTTTATACAGAAAAGAGCAAATGAAATATAACAATTATTGTGACATATAGAGTTAACTGGCTAATGGTTGAATTTTGTGAATTGATGTTCTTCATTCCCACAATGCTGGCTAACCTTAGAATAAACATTTCAGGCTATGGCAGTAGGTTATAGCCCGTAGTATAAATAAGGTATAGTAGAGATGCGCCTTCCTCTCCTTGCTTCTGAGCAGCCGTAGCCTACTATGCAAGAACATAAAAATGGCAACAAATGTAAAGCTCAGGCACAACCACATAAAAAAGGTTAGGTGCCTCAAGGTACCGAAACACTGAACCGTCGAACCAGGACGCATAGCCTGGCTTTACCGTTCCACGACGCTCCTCGTTGTGCTATGTGACGCATTGTAGGCGACCTCCGCTGCTGATGACGGAGACAGGAAGGGCGTCATCAGCCATGGCTTGCAGGTGTAGCCGCTGTCTCCAAGCAGTAGGCCCTCGTAAACGCCATCGGCCAGCTTGCCTGACAACGAGCCCTCGGTGAATATCCTAGAGCCGTGGGTGCTTCCAGGCCATTTTGCAACCACATTGCGGATACGGTAAAAGACGTCAACCACTAACTGTACATTTATTGAATGGTACAGATGGCGGTTAACGTACACCTCCTCATGCACTTGTGGTGCCTGTATCCGAATGTGAGTGCCATCAACAGCACCCACGACCGAAGGAAACCCACCGATCTCAAAGAAGGCCTGTTGTAAGGCATGACCCTCAGCTTCACCTGGCCACCTGCATTGTAGATGGATTTGAGTGAGTCTGTAGCACTATGACATTAACAGTGACAGTTTTGTTGTTATGATCACATGCTTCAAAATAACACAGCTATCATTCATCGTCATCAATAGTGAGCAATAAAAGCCTCGTCTGCACAATGACAGTACTCAGTAGCCGCAAGACTAGCTCAGTAGCAACAAGTGCATAGTTGGGAGTGCAGAAACCAGGCTGTTTGTAAATGTCTGCACTCCTACTTTATTTGTAGATTAGTTGAATTTGCACCTGCACCAATAATAGGTACTAAGGGAGTCATTTTGTACACTCCAGTTGGTTCGTGTAATTTTACTGCCCAGTTCACTGGTCTGCATGTCACGCTCATTACCAAAAAACAAATATCGAGTGCTGAAGCAACACTTTTAATGATTCTTTAGGGAGGTACCAGTATACGTGGGGATCGATGCGCTGGCAGATATTCAGGCTAGCAAGCCTACAGCTTAGGAAACAAAAACGAAAGGGTCATTGCGCAGGTGGTGCGCCGTAAATAAATTGCAGAATAGGTGTGCGGAGAAGACCACCTTTAACGAATTCGGGGGTTTCAGCGAACACAATTCACGCACCGAAATTTCTATACAAAGGGTTTCTGAAATAATGGTGATTGCTCATCGAACAATCTAGGCCCAGGCTTTTTTTCTCGGAAAACTGGCCTGCACATGCGCCTAATATCGGGACGCACCAGAGATGCTCCAGACCACTTACCCTATGAAGTCTTGGGCACGACGTGCCAAGGCCTGAGTCACCCGCCTCACAGTCCGCGAAGCAGTCGAGACGTGCACACGGATGTAGTCCCCTGCGGTGATGAGGAAGTTCCCCGTGGCGTAGAACTGTAAGGCGACAATGACCTGCTGCTCTGCAGAGAGGGCGCGGCTGCGACGCGTCGGCCGCTCCAAGTCCGGGCGCAGTGTGTCGGCGAGGAACACAATGCCCGCGCGACCGAATCGAAAGCGCTCCTGCAGTTCGTCCTCATCGAACTCCTCCAAAGGGTTCAAGCGGTCACGGAACACACGCTGCCGTCCCATCATCACAACAGCGTACTGGGCGAACACGCGCTCTCTTCGATGTCGGCGTCGCGTCACAGTCGACATTGCGTCCCTTATCTTCACCAATCCGTCCGCAAATCAGTTGTCAGTCAGTCCGGTAGTCAGTCGGCGAGCGAGTCGGAGGGTCGGTTGGGCAAACGGCAGGAGAAGACAAACAGTGAAAATCAGGTGATAACTAAAGCGCGGGAAACGTGCGTCGCAAAACACGGAGAACAAAACAACCAAAAACAACGAATCTATAAAGACCGTTGCCAGACCCGAAATCAACGCTGAAAACTTATGCTGTGTTTGGCGGCACAATAGATGCATCAAGATATTTATTATTTTTTAAAGTACATATATATTTTCATGCATAAAAAGAAACATTGTGATACGATGTTGTTTTTATTTTTCTTAATAAAGACAAAACTAGCAAAAACGTTTCTTAAAAGGCTATTGTTTGCTTCGACCGGAAGGTGGCGGGAGCTACCGCATAATAATAAAACACGGAGAAATTGTGCGTCGAGTTTTTGTCGAACGCGGCTAGGTACTCGGATGTACCTAGGTAGGGAAACGCGGTTAACTTTTAACCGCGGTTAGAGTTAACCAGCTTCGAGCAAACGGGCCCTGGACGTATAACTCACCTGCGCAGAACGCATTATTGTAGCTTTCATGGCTATTATAAAACAAATTACTGAAAAGTAAAAATGCCGGCTGTATATATTTTTACACTCTCTTAAAATACCCTCTTAGGACCCTTTATGAAAGTTATATTTGTCGAAATTTAATCTGTAGTAAGATCACCTTAACAACATCACTCAAACGACGACACCGAGAAAGAAACCAATATTAAAACTGCGTGAAACATTATTTTTTTTTTACGTAACCTGCAAAACAAGATGTGTAATATGTATCCCCATGTTGATGTCGGATATGCATATTAAAAATATTTTACAAATGTCTTACCGTAAAGAGACACTTCAGCTTTCTCTACAAATCTGTTTCTTTTTTCGCTGTGGGGACACTGCCATGATGCAATGTAGCCACTCAGCGGTCCAGCCGGCACAGAAGGATGCTGCCATGTCACGATGATCAAGGTGCTGTCTTGAAGCGAAATCTGCAATCCCACAGGCTCCCTTGGGGCTGAAAAATAAAGCATATCAATTTACCAATATTTGCAACCGGTAAATGGGAACAGGCGGTCGCAGCGTCGCTTCATATCTTGATAAAAAAAAACAAAAGAAAACACAAAAGAAAACACCAATAGAGACACTTCCGTTCATGTTGAAAGAAGAGAGAGGTGTCTAAACCAAACCAGCCATTTCGGCAAAAGTGTACTCGGGCTTCGCGAATCTTCCACAGGGCCGCTGTCGGTTTAGAAACCTTCACGCAGGCGCTGTCGCGCCCCGCGGGGCCTTATAATAATAAAAACAATAATAATAATAGTAATAATAATAATAATAATAATAATAATAATATGAATCATGGTAACAATAATCAAGAATCAGTCTCATTTGGTACCCAGGAACCAGTAATACGAACATTAATAATAATATTAATGATAATAATAATAATTATTATTATTATTCCTAGTATTATTAATATTGTAAATAAATGAGAATCATTCCATCCTACTTTATTGTACAGTGCCCAGAAACAACCATGAGGGCTTGGTGTTGGTACACTGGTAGCCAAAATACAGTATACACAAAAAAATAGAAAGGTAATGCACTGCACACTATACATGGCTCCGAAATTAAGATACGATGTGTTTCGTGAGAATAAAAGTAAAGAATATAAATTTTTAAGTATTGTACTAGGAAGTACAGGAGTAATTAATGGAATTAAAACAATAAAAAATGCAAGGCAGTACCAGCAGACCCGAAACACAAGACCATAGGACAACGAATGCACCACCAAAATGCACTCCTTGCAGATGACAAAATTCAGAAATATCGGAGCCATTCAGAAATGCTCAACTTGCATGCTCAAGTTTTTTTTTGTAGAAAGGACAAACGCCCCGTAGCAAATTAAGGGTGAAAAATATCAAGTTTGACAGAGTATTAATTCAAACGCTCCGCCATTCTAAAAAAGATAGGTTTGCCAGACTAAAATTTAAGGAAACATACAAAGATGACTGAAGCCGAGTAGACACACGTGGAAGCATAAGGCAGAGTTCAAATAACAGGCTCGTAGAATTGATGAGGCCATGCGGCGTTTTAGACAAACAAAAAGTAAGTCCGCGTTCTCCCGACGGCGGTGCAGGCTAGGCAAACCAATACTCTCTAACGCAGCCTCATATGTTAAACACTGAACATCCTCCTTCATGTGTCAATGTTTAAACTTTTCTGCACACGTTCGATTTCCATGGAGTGAGAGTTCTGTATTTCATTCCAAATACCTGAGACATGTGTTAACTGCGACCTGGATAACGAACAGTACAACGAGATAAAAGCAGTCGGGTTTTTCAACTCCCTGGTTAAGCGAGAGGCAACACCTGACATTCGCCATGACGAGTTAACCAGCTTACCAACGTGATCAGAGAAACGCAAGCCAGAATCAGCCATGACTTCGAGATCTTTCATTACACCTACTCGAGACAAAGTCTCCTCATGCATATTATGTGCAAAAGTTATATTGTGAGTTTACCAAGGGAGTCTTGACCTTGGTCAGAGCACCATCGGTACAAAGAACATGCATCTTCCTGGAGCTTAGCACAATCATGTTCAGTAACTATTTCTCTATACATTTTTATATCATCAGCATACTGCAGGAATGAAGAATTTAAAACAGCAGGGGAGGCATCATTTACGAGAATTGTGGACAGAAGGGGTTCTAAAACATATCCTCGGGGAATGCCAGAGCGTGCACTGTAGAACGAAGAGTTCCTGTTGCTGATTCAGACGTACGCCTCCCTCTCTGACAAGTAGCCATTCAACCAGTCGTGTATTGAGCCGCATACTCTGTCAGAGGAAAATTTAGATAAAAGGATCGTGTGCTTGACTACGTCAAAGGACTTGCTTAAGTCAAAGTAGACAACCTCTAACTGACCTCTGTTGCATATCACACAATATGTGGTAGACATAAAACTAAGAAGGTTTGTTGTGGTTCACCTGCTGCTCATGAAGCCATGCTGGTTGGGAATCGCTAAGTTTCGAAATTTGAAAGACAGGAAGTGATGGACGACCCTTTTAAAGAACTTGGAAAATGTAGAAAGAAGAAAAATCGGTCTATAGTTAAAAACATCACTTTTTTTTCAGACTTTAAGACCAGAACGACAGCCGAGATTTTCCACATTTCAGGAAACGCTCCCAACCTTAAGGAGTTGTTAAATACTGAGCACGCTCGTACAGGCGCGAATATGTCGTGATGAGTTTTGAAGATTGCGGACGGAATGCCGTCGGGCCCTAATGATAGCGCTGTTCTCGTTTTCTTAATAGAGGATGTACGCACCCGATATTAGTATTATTGTAACTCAACAAGTCCCCAAACCCATCTAAGTGAGGCAGCGCAGATGAGAAACACTATGTACTATCTCTGTAGACTGACCCAAAATGCTCAACCATGAAGTCAGGCACGGACTTCAAATATATCTAGGACAATTTTCGATTGGATATGCCTCCCCGAACTTGATTTAATGTGCCCACATCATTTCTTTGGATTACTGACAATTCCTGGTCTCACCAAGTAACGATGCGCCTGGCGGTCACGATTTAGGACTGTTTGACACTGCTGTCTGAAACTCTTGAATATTACTTCCCATTTTAGGGGGGCCGCTTTTCTTAAACTTTCTGTTAAAGAAGTCCTTTGTTTCCAGTTGCGTCTTTAGCTCAGTGAAAAACCAGCTTGGAAGGCGAGATTTAGTAACTGTCCTCAAGGGAATAAAGGTATTTATTACCTACCGAATAATTCGCGTAAAAATCATGACCTAGTCGTTTAAATCAGAAGATTCCAGGATCGATGCCCAATCGAAGCTTAGGAAAGTAATGATACATCCCGACATAGTGCCCTACCGAAATATTATATGAGGTGTGCAGAGGGAACCACCAGAAAGAGCACGAACAGGGCAAGTTTTAAGAGAAAGCACTAATACAGGTGCGGGAAGTATGTACCCTGAGGAACTAATGGGAGTTCATCACGTGTAACACCCACACTGTCCATATTTGAGAAACATAAATCTAGAGCATTAAAATGGTAATTCAGAACATCCTTGTGTTTTGTGAGGTTTAAGAACGAAGACAAGGTTAAGAGCTGGGTACGTTTCTGCCCGCAGTAAAAGTTGTCCTTAAAAAATTCAAACTGCCGACAGTTGATTCCGGGAGCAATAAAATCCCCTAAGATTAAGACCCCGCTTCGATGTAAGTCATTCACTGTACTCTCTATGCCAACAAGACAACTATGAAATTCATCTTAGGAGAGGAAGGTAAAATAAATCGACTAAAACGCGTACTCCCTTTGCAGACTCAATCTAGACCTATACACTCTCGGGAAATTACTGCAAGTCTTCGCGTTTCCTTTAGCGCTAGTGCCTCTCCACTGCGACCAACACTCCACCTCCCGTCCTACTCCACAGGGTAATAATATTGCACGATGCTGGAGGCCTGCAGGAAAACGCTGTCGCATTGTCAGCTTGACACCGAAGGCCCCCCCCCCCCCCCCTTTGTAAGTTTCACAGCATGGATGCCTCAGAAAACAAATGAATAAATAAGCAAAGATAGTCCCGGTGTTAGAACGAAAACACGTGTTAATAAGCACATGATGACTAAGAAAACTATAACCTGTGCACAGATACAAAATAAACGTATTAAGCAAAATAAACGATGACGTCGACGGAAATTTCTTCCGCAGAGAATAAGAAACCAAATTAAGATAAAGTAATGAAGGTTTTAGAGAAATACGTATTCGTTTTCTAAACAGAGTTAATGTTCAAGGCTTGCTGAAATGGCTTTGTAGTTTCTTAGAACAGGTGTTGTGACAGAATATGTTTGTCATATAAATGATTTAATTATCCTAGTATTTTGTTTTGTAGCATTTCTATCCCGTAAATTGTTCTGCAGGTGTCTGTTTTCTAACGTTAATTGTTTCTTGCGCTATATATTTTAACCTGGGATCTTAGATAGCGTGGGCGATCAAGGACGATTACTCCACAGTCCCTTATCGGCCCCCTACTCCTCGCAAAGGCGTCGCGCCACCTCAGAGCGTCTGTCAGAAGCGGGAGTGGGCCTATACCACACTTGCTCCATGGCGAGGCGGCGCCGTTCAGATACATCTTTCTTCTTCCACTGTGCACCGGCTCACCATAGGCGTGAGCTCTACCAAAGCTACGACCCAATAAAACAATTAAGCTCGGCCAAAAGCGCCAGGTGCAACTTGCTGGTGGATGGGATATATCTCCTGGTGGCTAAAATCCCCGCAAGGGGAATTCTCTGGTCACGTGACTGTCTCAGATGGCTGGAAGTACATAGCGCTCCGCTCACCAGACGTAGGCCTCGCTTGTTTTCTCTTTAATTCTCCTTAGCACGATCTTTTTAATAAATAATTTTACATGCCGCTCAGAAAGTATACAAATGCTATTCGTTTCACCTACATTTCAAGCATGTTCACCCGTAATTAAAACCAAAACAGCACAAAAACAAGGACAAAGCAGAAGGCAACCGACAGGATACAGCGCTGACTCTAAACTAAAGATTTATTTATGTTGGCATACGGTATAAATAACAAACATGCCAAACCACGTAAATCAAGGGAAAACACAAAAAATGCACATCACGTGTTCAACACAATACCGTCACTGATTTGCCCTCCTCGCTCCAAGTACTGCCGCTCTTTGTCTGAAAGCACGAGCGACGGGGCGCTAACACAATCGGGCCCCAATCTTGCGATGTCACGAGCTTCTGTAACTTCACTCGTGATTGTCTTTATTTTTAAAAACCATTTGGCATTTGTCGAAGACTGGGATGTGGCCACAATCTCTGCAATGCGCCTCCAGGTGACCCGACAGAACTTTAAAACCGCTATATTGGTGTGCTCTGAGCCGATCGTTGACGCACCTTCCTGTTTGATTAGCATAACGACGGCCGCAAGATAATGATATGAAATACACCACTCCCCGCACAAAAGTAACGTATTAATTTTGGTGTTTTCTAGTGCACCCAGTCTTATTCTGAACATCTGAATTAACTTTTCTGCAGAGCCCGGCCAGCTTATTTGGTGCTGAGAAAACCAGCTCAACTCCCACGCGACTTCCCACGTTTAGTTGGTCAGAGACGCAAAGACGAGGACGTTGTCCTCGTCTTTGCGCCGTTTTGTTTTAATTCTGTCTGCATACCAACTAGCCCAAACTTGTGCGTTAATCAACATGCTCACCCTTTTTCAGCGTGTAAAAGCTGCCTTGAATATTCAAAGCCATGACGAAATGCGGGGATCAAGTCATTTCATTTTTGCACAGGAGATTTGGTGACGTCAAAATAATGCTGAAATCTGGTTGACTTTGATTGAATGGATAGTGGTCAGTCCTTGATGCTAGATACCTTGAAGTCTACTGACTACTTTTACAGTGAAGCTGTATATGACTCGTAAGTCGAATATTTTCGTGTCCGTCGACAGAACAATTGTCGACACAAAACCATCGCGTTCCGCTTATCATCGTTCGCGCGCGCCTTCTCATCTATCTAATGGTTTTGATAATTTTTTCAATAAAAAAACCACAACACAAGTGTCAAAACCACATGGCGCGCGCGTATTATGCGAAGCACGTAGCGCTCCCCGCATGCGTTTCGCGGTAAAGATTGCGGTTGCATAAGCAGCCGCAGCAACGGCAGCGTACGAAGTCTGTCATATAGACCCTTTTTGCTGTTTACAAACATAAACTGCCACTTGGGTCCAAGCGACTTCCGGTCGCTCCGTCTTTGTAAGCCTGTCAAGCTTCCCTATGTCACCAGTGCTAGAAAGCATAAATGATACACGGACAACAAAGTTGGAGATTTAAAGAGGGCCTTCGGATGTACAATTTAACGTCTTGAAGGAGGCAAATTGGTTTACAAGGATATTCGAAAAATGTTAACAGATCTTTCGCTTCCTCTTTCTTTTGGCGTTAACGTAGAGAATCGGCGGTTAAACGTTACATAAACATTTCAAGCAACAGTGTTAAGGTGGGCTTTGTTGGTTCTTTTTCTTAATCGGAAGTTAGTTCTCTGGGACGTCAAAGACTGGACCACCGACTCGTGGCGTTTGCCATAAAAAGGGTGTATATAAATTGATTTAAAAATGTATATATTGATCTTTCCTGCGAATTTTGGACCTTAAAAGGTTCGGAGAAGTCAAGGTAGAGGCAAGCTTGATCTTCTTTGACCAGAGTTTAGGTGTATTGGTCCTAATGCGCCATACAAGTGCCAAAGTTAGGCTTCACTGTGTGTACTTATCTGGCTCCTCTGAGCCGAAATCGTCAAACAACTGCCAAAATTTATGCTTCGCTTCTGGTTCATCGGCTTCCATGTGAAAACTTTGCCCCTAACTAGATTTAGGCATAACTACTGGTTCTATGCTCATACGTGGAAACGTTGGCTGAAGTGTGGCACTTTGGCGATTATGTGGTGAGCCAGACAAAAGCCATAGAAACGCCAAGGAGAAGTGCTCTGACACAAACTAACGCATTGGAGTAAAGTCGTATTAAGCCCAAGTTAAGCACCCTAGGTTGGGCGAGCTTTTTCCAAGTTTGGCGTTTTCTGGTGCGATTCCTGAGTCTGGACTGTAGAACAAGGCTTCTTTTGTCGAAAGTCCTTTCGTGTCCGTCCAACTAAAACAAAGTAGTGCATCGTCACAATGGGTCCTCTTTTTGCGAGTGACCACTAAGAACCTCAAAGCAAGAATTCTTGCAGGGCTCATGAGTGAACTCATAGAAATCTGCTAAAGAAAGTGGGAGAGTAGTGCTAGTAAGCGGCTTGGAACGACAGATTTAATATTTAACAAAACGTTAGAAAAGAAGCAATACAATTTCTGAGAAGTTATACTTGTGTCAATGTTCATTATATCAAGTCAGATAGATCGCTACCGAAATTGTTTTAAAAAATGGGCAAGTTGTTTCCTGTCACAGTTTCTGCGCGTTTAAAACCGGATAGGGATGCTCGTGTAAGTATTTTACCTGGCATAAGGGGTCTTGTTTCACACAGAGCTACGCTCCTTACGGAATGCGAAAGATGATATGAACATGCCGTACGCTCTAAGACAAGGGTAAGCACCTACGTTCTGCAAACTGCATTAGTCCGGCAAGGAGTCTGCATTGGCTCCCCGGAATCAGTGAAAATGAGTGCACTCGGTAAGAAATACCAGAGATTGCTGATCTCCTCGAGTAAGATGATTATACTCGAGCACCTTCTATACATTATAATGGAACACCTTGAGACCTGGCACTGCTGCTAAAAAGTGAAGAAACTTCCAAGTAAAAGAACCCTCCCCCCCTCCCCCAAATCTTGTCACTGGTGGATTCTTACAGCGTTGCCTAGCTTCTGTCAGCACCGACGCTGGCGCGGCTACCACGCGGCGACGCCAGACGTTTGCGTCTTCAATTTTGCGTCGTCTCTTGTTGAGCTTCAGCGTGCTTTCCGCTTAGTATGGGTCGGGAATTCACGTACAATGACGTCATGAGCAGGCCTTGTCTTCTAGGATGTGCCACTTCTTGACAATATGCGATACTCTAGGACACCCATCGCAATACTGGAAGTAACAACCTTTAAAATTAAAAAAAGCGACTTGGAATTCTTTTCGGGATAATCACTGCGGTGTTTATTGATTACAAAGAACATGTGTACAACGCGTGAAACAGGTGGGTTCCACACGTGATAGCAGAATATGGCTGTTCCTAACTCCCTTCTCGTCCAACAATCAATGCCTTATATCGAGTATCGCGAACACTGCTTCGATATTGCCTGTGTTTCTGATGGTATACAAATACTTCGCCCGTATACATATTTTAACATTATTTTAAGTATTTTGACAACTCAATTTTTCTGGAATACATTAAAAACGGCCTTGAAGGATGACTTTCGCAATTTATTCCTTGGAGAAGGACAATATTGCGAGACAAATGAGCGATTTATATTCGTAGAGCTTGACAAGTTTGTTTAAAATGATTTTGATGTGAAATATATTGTCACAGAACAAGTTGCCAAACTAATAAATTTTCAAATCGAACAGTGGGTATTTTCGTGTTGTTTGTAGCTTAACGCTCAAGCGACAATAAGCAACGTTTGAGACAAATAATTGCTTCAAGATCAAACAATTCTTGAACTTTCGTTTTAAAGCTTGAACGTCACCTATAAATGGTGCTTCCTGACATTCATTCTCTTTACGTAGGCCCACTTTGATTTCAAGTCAAGTGAAAATTTTAGGAAATAAAAAAAAATATATATTTGATATTAAATCTGCGGTTTATAACATCCGTAGGGGCTATAGGCTGCCATCCAAACCCGCAACGGTCTTACCTGCCATGCCTGTCCTGACCTTCACATTCGATTCCTCTCCACAGCCAGCGTCGTTGCAACCTCTTATTGCGACACTGTATGTAGTGTAGGGCACGAGGTTCTTGAGCCTAATGAACCCCGACTTGAACTCCGGTCTCGACCCATACATCGCTGCCATATCGCAACCGATGTCATCACTACAGTTCGTCCAAATATTTTCTTCCATTGATACCTGGAAAAAGCAGAATCGAAAGGTCATGACTTAAATTTTTTTTTTAATGTTCCCACGCTCTTTGCTGAAAATAATGTAAAATAATTCTTGAAGAAAGCAGGACGGCCGCTATTTTCGGATAAATTAAAGCCGAGCTTCTTAACACAGTTCTTAAAGTATTTGATTATTGCGCTTTGTTGCTCGATGGGAACTTTTATTTGCTAAGCTTGAGAATGCTAAGTGGACAAAAAAAAATGGCAAACAATCGGAAGAGCTTATCTTTCGTCATCACAGGCAATGTCAAAGATTTCAACCCAAGCGCCTCCCCATCCGTGCCAGCTGCTCAAAAGCACTGCATACGACTGAAGCGCGCAAGGAAAATTAAATCACCTAACGCTTCAGAAGCTTAAGATGCATGCTCAGACGAAGCGAGCGTAAGGGTAGAGTGACAAGAAACCATTGCTCCGAAATGTCTTCAATGCGCATTAGTAAGGATCTCCGCGCTTTGTTGTAGAATATTAGATGTCCGGAAATCTACGAGTGTGCATTGGAAATTATAAGCTGAAGAACTGATATCATATTTCTTTCAAACATATGCAAATGACGATTATTCGATTGTTTTCCATTTGTCTTCCGACCCGCACACCTCTGAAAGAGAAGGATACATTTTATTTTATCGACGCAGAAACCTATATGCGCAAAGTGCCTTTTCAAGGGTGATGCGTTTTTATATTCAAAAAACATTTTTTCTTACGCAAGGTATACAGGTAATTTTCACATCAAGTTAATAATACTGTTAGTATTTTGGTGTCGGAGAGGTTTTTTCTGGCATTGTGACATATCTGCTTCCCAGAATTAGTATCTTTCTTTAGATTACAGATTTTTTTCTTTTGAGCCGAATTTGACAGATAAATCAGTGGACTTCCAATAAGAGAGGCATTAGGAAAGTATCACATCCATTGTAAGCCCTAAGTTAATCCGGCTGCCCTAAAAGTGACTATGTAGATTACTTTGGCCTGTCGATGTCTATATTCGCAACTTAATGGCATTGGTTGCTCAGAATGTTGCTGCTTGAAAATATCAGGCTAGCAAAACGAAATATCGCTCTATAATATTGTTTCTGTGTTGTCATTTCTAAAACTTACATGAGCTAGCCAAATTCACTCTAGAATGTTAAACGTTGAAACAGTGATACGCCGGTTTAAGTTTGTTAACCAATTTTATTAAAGACGAACCAAAATAATTGTTCTATTCAGCTTGGAGCTAAGTGCACATGAAAACACACTTTGAGGATTCCATAGTAACTCGAAAATAATCTGCGAGATGTAAAAAAGAATCTTGCCATATATGATTTTGGTTTTGTTTAAAAATTGGCAACTTTTTTTTATATCGTTTCGTCGCAACGATGCGAGCTTCCATCAGTAATGAGGACATCTTGCGGGTATTTACTTCCTTTGTGGTTACGGGTATTAAAATACTTCTTAGATGGGATTAGAATACGGTTTTTTTCCTCAGAAACTGCTCCCTGAAGTAATTGTTTTTTGACCGTGTACTACCAATACGGCCACCCATGTGCCCTCGAATAGCATAAGAAGGGGCAGGTACACTTTACAGTACATATTGCACTCATGCAACTGCATTTTTTTGTATAATAACTGGCTAATTGTTATTCCTAGTGCACCTGCATCTGAAATTCTGATATGGTTTGCTAGATATCTTAAACGCACACATTTCTCGCCGTATCCGCGCGCAATGTCTCGAATAATTTCACGCCAAGATTTCATTAATTGACGGCTCCCCATGACTTTTTATGAATGCGTATGACATTTTGACTCGATCTAATACAATTTATGAAGACGCAAAACGTTCTAGGCAGAAGGTCGGCCGACACCAATTGATATCAAATAAACACAACCTTAGTGTTCAAATTGATATGAACGAAGAGAGAGGAGTACAATGAGCCATATTACTTTGAAATTCCTTCTTGAGAAAAGAAAACAGACGTGTTTTGTACAATGAAGATTAGATAATTAATTTAGCAACTGACTAATACAACACATATCATGTTGTTGCTCTTCGTGACCCTTTTTGGTTTGATAATTTTGGAAAGCACATTTATACTCAGTACATCCTCCTCGCGTGAGGGCATAATTTAGTTCTCATCTAGGTAAAATAGGCGCAAGTTTTCCGATGTGTGCTCATGTACTAAATTCGTGAAGAAAAAACTTTGGTAGTTTTATGAACATGACCAACCAGCCTACGAAATAAATGACAATGCCGCGTGCGTGACGAAGTCGGCAACCCACGGGGCTTCCATACGGTGGAGCGAGACTGAAATCCTGCACGAAACCCAATTGGACCGGAGCTTCATGTTATAATTATAGTTAATTATAATTATAATTTTGCCAGCTATTTTTCTCTTTCCCTTCCCTTAAATTTAACGCAATAAATTAAATAATCACTCTCTCCCTCTTCGTTCTAAATGTTACTACGGCTGCACTTGTGAATCTTCCTTTAACTTGTAAATCTTCCTTCAATATATATTGTGAACGAAGAGGGGAGAAGGTGATTATTGAATTTATTGTATTAAAGTTGGGGAAAGAGAAAGGGTAAGAGAGCTGGCGCAAAATTGGGCCAGGACCGGGGATTCAACCCGCAACTTTCGGAAAAGGGCCCGTCTTCCAAGATATCTAGGGAACCACTCCTTTCCGACGGAACGCATCTTTGCACCCGCGGTCCTGCCCCCCGGTGGTCGCGGCGCGAAGCGACCCCCTCGCCTCTCTTGTAGCATGGACGGAAGTTGGGCGCACGTGTGTTGCTCGTCTCAGCCACTGGGGAGCAGGACCACGGGCGCAAAGATGCGCTCCAATAGGAAGCCGAAAACTCGAAACGCGTTCAAATTGAGCGTGTTTACGGAACGCCGTTATATACTGCCCCGGCGTCATACCCTTCTAAAAAAGGGTTAATTTAGTGGTTTTCGATGACGCTCAGCAGGTTTCTAACTGGAGCCATATGTCTATTTTCATTAATTAAAAAGCTAACTAACGCATTTTAATTAATTAGCCGACTGATCGTTACGATTTGGCCCCTATACTATGTCCCCCTGCCCGTAAAATGCACCGCATAAATGTAACTTTCATGGATTTTTTTTATACAAACGTGTTAATTAATAAAAAACACCATACATTAATATATATATATATATATATCCCTGCTCCTTGCCCAATTTTTTGCCAACTCTTTCCCTTTCCCTTTCCATAACTTTAATGTAATGGATTCGATAATCACTTCCTCCTTCTTCGTTCACAATATTACAACTGCAGTACATGTGAATCCACTCATTCCCAGAGGTCGTCATTTTAGGTCGCCCTCACTCACCCTCACCGCCACACTCACCTAGGCCCCTCACTCACCCCCACCCTCACTGCTACACTCACCGCCCTCACGGCCCTCACGCACTCATGGCCCTCACGCCCCTCACCGCCCTCACGCCCCTCACTCACTCATGGCCCTCACGCCCCTCACGCACTCACCGCCCTCACACACTCACCGCCCTCACGCCCCTCACTCACTCATGGCCCTCACGCCCCTCGCCGCCCTCACGACCCTCACGCACACATACCCCTCACGCACTCATGGCCCTCACGCCACTCACCGCCCTCACGCCCCTCACTCACTCATGGCCCTCACGCACTCACCGCCCTCAGACCCCTCACACCACTTATAGCCCTCACGCCCCTCTCGCATTCACCGCCCTCACTGCCATCACGCACTTATACCCCTCACGCCCCTCACGCACTCATGGCCCTCACCCTATTCAGGCCCGCGTCAGATGGAGCAATTTCGCCCAGAAACTTGACGTCGCAACACCAGCAACGCGGGCCGCCCGCATTCACACGGAGCAACCAATTGCTGAAATTTGCCGTCATCACCATAAAAGTTTATTTTTCTTGCACACACAATTACGTGTTATAAACGTGTTTTTATGCATTTAAAACTCGCTGAGAATATCAATGCATCGTTCTGAAGCAGTTTATTTCCAAAAACGATAAATTTCAGACCAGAACCAAGTCCTCTGTTGTCATCATCACCGGCACGAGGTATCACGTGAAAATATCGCGTCTCTGACTGGACACAGCCGCTTCAAACGTCTTTGAATTGCTCCGAGTTGCTCACTTGTTTCGAGCCGGACCCGATCTCAGCAATTCGTGTCGATCTAGGGCACGGTGGTCTAGGGAAAGGGAACAACTCACCAGCAACACCAAAATTGCTAAGAAAGTTGCTCCGTATGAAGGAGGACTCACGCACTCACCGCCCTCACGCCCCTCACGCACTCATGGCCCTCACGCTACTCACACATTCACTGCCCTCACGGCCCTCACACCCCTCACGCCCCTCACGCACTCATGACCCTCACACCACTCACGCACTCACCGCCCTCACGGCCCTCACACTCCTCACGCACTCATGGCCCTCACGCCACTCACTGCCCTCCCGCCCCTCACCGCCCTCACCGCCCTCACGGCCCTCACGCACTCACAGCCCTCACAGCCCTCACGGCTCTCACTCACCCTTACACTCATGAATTTTTCTGATTCAGAAACTCACTCACCCTCACCTCATCTATGAAGATGAGTGTGAGTGAGGGCCCTCATGAGTGAGGTTTGCCGAGGTATGCTCATTCCCATTATATATATATATATATATATATATATATATATATATAGGTGGTTTCATCTCAAATCGTGCAGGCAAAAAGGGTCAAATTTTTAATTTCGATGGAAAAAATATATGTTATGGCGCTTTTTCTAAAAGCGCAGTCGCCACAGACCGCAAGTTTGTCGGATTTTTTGTTCTCGACTTATGAATTTTTAAAGAGGCCGCGGCGAAACGCAGTGTTTTTCACACCCGTCGTGGGTCGGATGTTTCAGTCCACATTATATTACCTTTTTTCAAGCACTCTGTGGACACATTTAAAAGGCTCCAATACCATAAAATAATTTTAGGCGTTTTGCTTTTTT